ATATATATATATATATATATATATATATATATATATATATATATATATATATATATAGCTTTAGTCTGACAATGAAAGATAGATTGGCTAGTTTAGAGATGTAACAATACATTTTCCAAAGATCTGAATTGAACTAATCTGATAGGCTCAGATTGCTAACGAGTAAAAAAAAAAAACATTCTTTGAACTTATATGTTTTAAGATCTGTGATTTGTTAGTTTTTGGGTTTAGGAAAAGTCCACGTTAGGCATAGATGGTCTGATAGATTAAGTGGGATGATCTTGTAATTTCTTTAGTTTGTTACTCATTTAAAATTTCTAACTCTTTTATAAGACCAGCTGCACTTTTTCTCATTTGGCTTTCAATCTTAAAAAGGAAGAAAACTCAGTATTAGAGGGGGAGACCTTGGATGGGGCAAAAATATCGACCTAGAAAAAGCCTGATCAGTGCTGTTTTAGTTCAGTTATAAAATAGAACAATTTTCCACAGAGTCCTTAATTATATTTACAGTAAATGCGGTAAAATATACCTGCTAAATCTGATTTCAATGGTAAGTGACCTTGTTAAGTCCTTTTCAATTAGTAAGATGTTCTCCAAAGACAAATTCATTTCCTATACATTTACTGGAAACAATTTATTATAATTGTCTTTCTGCAGGTTGGAGATGCAAACGCTACGGTCACAGGACAGGAGACAGGGAGTGTCCTTTCTTCATTAAAGGCAACCAGAAACTGGAGCAATTCAGAGTTGTGAGTTTAACTCTAATTAACACTCCATGCTAAGCTAAGATGACCGCTGGTTCCAGCAGATTCAAACGCAGCTTGACTTCATTGTACAATTGCAATGGAAGAGTATTGTTGGAAAACTCCACAATGTACTAATGTCATCTTTTTTAAGTCTGTCATGGTCTAAAGTTATGTTCGTACCCACCGTGGATTTCACAGCTGGAGCGAATGGTTTCCATGTTATCCCTAGGGAGAGGGAGGAAATGAAAGGAAGTGGAGCTAGGCTAAGGTGGCGAATTTAGCAAAATTCCATCACCGTAACACCTGCAAAGTAGGCAAAGCGAAATTTGCAGAAGTTGAAAGATCTGAACTTTTTTTATAATCGCATTGAAATCCAACCAGGGATCAGATCTTTATTGCAGCTGTGAGCTACAGTAAAGGAGGCAGCGGAGACTAGCTTTTTTTTTTTTTTTTTTTTTTTTATAAAATATTGAAGATGGAGATAATAATGTTGACAATGCACTGTGGTGTATTCGGTTGCAGTTTGCATGTTCTCCCTGAGCATGCGTGGGTTCTCTCCAGGTACTCCAGCTTCCTGCCACAGTCCAAAAACATGACTGTTAGATTAATTGGCTTCTCTAAATTCTCCTTAGGTGTGACTGTGTGCATGACTGGTTGTTTGTCCTGTTTGTCTCTGTGTTGCCCTGCTATAGACCGGCGACCTGTCCAGGGTGTACGCCGCCTCTAGCCCATTTACAGCTGAAGATAGGCACTAGCACCCCTTAAAACCCCGGTAGGGATAAGCGTGACAGAAAATGGATGGATGTTGACAAAAGAGAAAGTGGGGGATGCTCTTAAGAGGTTTAAGATGGCTTGAAAAAAACATATTTTCATTTAGCCCTAGAGGAACTGTTTCGTTGTCCTACTTCCAGGCACCGACCAGCTGCCGCCTTCTCTCCCTGGCTCTGGTGCTCTTTCTCTGCCCGTTAGATTTTTCCAATCTACCGCTGTCCTCCTCCGTTCCCCCTGTGCTGCAGTTTCTCTAGTAGGGGGCGTGGTTGGCCGCCTCGTCCTTTTGCTCCATATCCCTTTGCTCCAGAACGCCGTCTGTTGTCTGCCTCATCTGTCCCCAAAACGGGTTAATTTTGGGTCGCAGACGGAAGCTCTGGAAAGCGATTGTGACACAGCTATAGCTCCTGAACCCCCAATCTGGAAACATCCTTGGTGTTTGGTGGACCAAGGGATGTCGGCGCTGATGCTTTTGTTCACCTTTCAAATGTAGAAAACGTACTGCGATTCATTCGTAAATTCAGTGTCAGCCATGTTTTGATATGAACAGTTGGAACTCAATTTCTTTCTTTAAATCACCTGCTTTTATTTTTCAGGCTCATGAGGATCCAATGTATGACTTAATCCGAGAAAACAAAAGAAACGAAAAGGAAACCAGGTAAACTTGTTTATTTTTACTCAAACATTACGCTTATAGAGATAAAACTACAGAAAGAGACGTCGAAGAAAGCCTTCTTTTAGACACAGCTGTGTAGTTTGTTTGCTGCTCCTCCAGTAGGTTCTGGCTAATCTCAGATGACCTGGAAATAATGTCACAGTGGCTGGTTCGCTGTGCTTTTTTTTTTTTTGCTAACAAATATGGTTTGACACCAGGACGTTGGAATATGAGGATAGTTCACCATGAAAAGGCGCTGTGGGGGTGCTTGAGTGCATGCAGAGCAGCAGCAGCAGCACGATCACATGCGAGTGTCTCAGCTTGCATTACAAAAAGGTTATTTAAAGGCCAGGAGCATTTTATAGTTTTACCGCTGCAGCTCTTAGTCATGTCGGCTTTTTCTTTAAAATGAAGGCATTAGAAGCAAACCTCACCTGCTGGGTTTTGTCCCTGTTTGTGTCTTTGGTCATTTCATAGATGTTCATAGAAAGATGATGAGGAGGCGACTCTACTTGGTTTCTAATCCCCGTCCACATCACATTTATTTTTTTCCTTGGAGACTCTTAATGAGTGACAAAGGAGTGGCACCTCTGAGAAACACATTTTATAGCTCCTTGTAGAACCTAAATCAGGGTTAAAAGCTGCTACTACACAACCGTGGACCAATAAATGACTATTGATTACTTCTGTGATGTAAGGACAAGTAGTCTGTAGGTCTGAAGAAAATCGTTGCAGTGAATGTTGCTTCAGCTTTCCCTTTTCTGGTCGAGTCTGTTCCTGCTCTATTTAAACATTCATTAAAAGGATTTTTCCCATGGGGAATTTAAAATAAGCTCTTCTGGCTGAAGCTAGTTTAATAAAGTCATTGTTTACAATAGCCAGTGTGTTTATTTCAGGTTCTGGGGTTAAACATGTTTGGAAGTTCAGCTGTAGGCCATTATTTATTTATCTTTTTAAGGACTCCACCCTGAGGACACTTGAAGAATTAACATTAGAAGTGTTCTGATCTTCACTGCTGGAAGGATTCCCATAGGGTCGCTTTTTAGTAGCTTTTTTTGCTAAATCTCATAATACATTTTCTTGCACTTGAGACTCTGGGTAATGTTTCTCTGATTTCGGAGGGTTAGTTGTTTTTTGGTACATTCTCCGTCTTTTTATAAGATAGAAGTTGTTGTTGGGGTTGAAGGGGTTTGTTTTGTCTCAAAGAACTAGAAATGAAGCTGTAGGTGTGGTGTCAATATCATTTACTGCATTTCTCTACGGTGGTGGGGTGATGGATACTTTGTGGAGGCAGTACCATGCTGTGGGGCTGAATGCACTTTGGACCCCACAGAGTGGCAGAAAGAAAACCATTGTTGGATGCAGGCTTTGAGAAGTAGTCCCATTGGCTGTTTGCAGAAAACTTGGAAAAAAAGATGGCTTAGATGAGAGAAATATTCTGTGGAAAAATCCCAGCACTGCTCACAACCCAAGACAAATTCCCCCACCATGGTTGTGGCTGATCTGGGGTTGCTTGCATTTTAAGAAGGGGTTGGAAATATGCTCAGAGTTGAGGGAAAGAAGGATGCAGCTGAAAACAGTAACTCAGCAGTTGAAGCAATTTTTAAAAACCACTCATAGCTTAAATGAAACGTTAGCATATTCATGTAATATTAAGTACAAGCATGTTACTTTTACGACTAGATTTAATTCTGAACTGAATCTATGAACAAAAGGAAAGTCTGGCTTCTTATTCTGATGGTTTGGATCTGATATTTAATGTATTTTCTTCCAGACCTGATTGTAACACCACCTCCTTTTATCCTCTCTTTGCAGGATCCAGCAGCTGCAGCAGCTGCTCCAGGATACCACCTCCTCTTCCTCAGACTCGGACAGCTCTTCCTCATCATCGTCTTCAGACCATCATCGCAAGAAGAGGAAAAAGAGGAAGGACAAGAAGAAGAAGGAAAAGAAAAAGAAAAGGAAGCGAAAACACAAATCATCCAAAACTACTGACAGCTCAGATTCAGACTGAGATTCTCATCTTGAAAACTACATTCTCTCAATGTAGGAAAAGTCTTGAATAGCAGCAGCTGTAGGTGTTGGACTTCAGAATCCAGTTTGTCCTCCAGAGTGCACTGCAGAGACTCTTTTAAGCTTTTCTCTGCAGGTTCCAGCAGTAAAACACATTCGCTGTGCATGTCTTCTCTAAACTGTATCGTTCACCCCATCAGCATGACCTATACAGAGAGTCCAAGGTTCCATTTCCAGAGATAGAAACGTCATCCAGAAGTGTTTTTGTTTCTGTTATGTTTACCTGATCATTTTATCAAAAGATGATTGTAATGTGTTTATTTCCCTGAGGTGAAAATATTTCAAATGAAAAGCTGCAGTTGGTTCATGTTTTCCACTGAAGCCAGAATGTTTTGAATGGTTGTAACAGCCCAGAAATGTTTGGAATGGTTTGAGGTTGGACTATGCTTATTTGCTCGAGAGAAAAAAAATCCCACAGAAATGAGAAAAGTTATGTGAATAAACTTTCTGTACCGTGAGGATGAAGAAGGAGAGTTCTTTCCCGTGTTTATCCAGAACTTAAAAAAAAAAATCAGATACCTTTCATTTTTGGCCTTCTTTTAATGCATTTACTGGTTTTCTGGGGGATGCTCGGAATTCAGGTCATTAGAGAGTAACTAGGATGACCTTTCTACAAGAGGCACAAGGATTTTTCCTCCGACCATCTCTTGTTTTGTTAGAATATGTTTTTTCTTAAAATATACTTCCTTTCTCTGCAATCCCATTCCTGCATCAACAGAACAAACCAAACATCTTGCAAGTGTACATGCGTCCTGTTCAATTTTAGTGTTTCAGCCACACTATTCAATTAAGAAATTATACTTTTGTTTGTAAATGGTTTGTTGTGCATTTATACACTCACTTTATTAGGTACACCTCGCTAGTATCGGACTGGATCCCCTTTTTCCTTCAGAACTGCCTTCATCTTTACTGGTATAGAATCAAGAAATTGCTGGAAACATTCCTGATAGAGTTTGGTCTATATTCACATGATGGCATCCAACAGATGCTGCAGATCCATGATGCAAATCTGTTACCAGGCATCCCAAAGGCACTCAACCAACATCGAGATCTGGTAACAGTGGAGGCCATTTGAGTACAGCGAACTTATTGTCATGCTCAAGAAAGAAATGTGCTGAGATGTGTTTAGCAACAAGGCTCAGGTAGGCTGTGGTGTTAACGTGATACACAGGTGGTACCAAGAGGCCCAAAGTGAGCTAAGAAAATATCCCCCACACCATTACACCACCACTACCAGCCTGAAGCACTGATACAAGGCAGAATGGATCCATGCTTTCATGTTGACACCAATTTCTTAACCATCGGAATTTTGCAGCAGAAAAAAATGTAGACTCATCAGACCAGGCAATGTTTTCCAATCTTTTATTCTCTAATATTGGTTATCCTGTGCAAACTGTAGCCTCAGTTCCCTGTTCTTAGCTGACATGAGGGGCACCCGCTGTGGCCCCTCTAGATGTAATATAGAACCTCCCATAGACCTGTCGCCCACTGGATATTTCCTCTTTTTAAGACCATTCTCTGTAAATCCTAGAATCGGTTGTGAATGAAAATCCCGGTGGATTAGCAGTTTCTAAAATTCCTTCTGACACCAACAGCCATGCCAATGTCTCTTAATCCCCTTTCTATTCCTTGATGTTAATTTTGAACTGCAGCAGATCATCTTGACTGTCAACCTGCCTAAATGCATTGTCTTGGTGGCACGTGATTGGCTTATTAGAAATTTGTATAAATGAGCAGTTGGATACATGTACCTAATAAAGTGACCGGTGAGCGTATTTACCTAATCAGAGTCCACATTTTGGAGTTAATGTCATATTTTAATACCAGAGATCCAATAGGATTTAGGCCTTGTCTTTAACTGAACCATTTTTACTAATGGATATCCTTTTCTCTAAACCACATAGTTTCAACTCTGGCTGCGTTTAAGACTACAGATTTTTTTTTTCCTTCAAGGCTTTCTTAGTTTTGTTCAATCCATCTTCCTCTGAATATTGGCAAGCCTTCCTGTCCTGTTTAAAGTGTCCCCACAACATGACCCTACCACTTCCATGTTTCACAATGCAGATCGTGTGTTCTGCATAAAACGCAGCTTGGTTTTCTGGGGCCAAAACCTCACACAGGACATTTTTGGTTTTCTATGATCGATGGCATTTGTTTTACCAGTCTCCTATTCCTGGCTGTATAGAGTTAGCTTTGTGACATTGTCTTCTCATTTTACGGGTGAACAGAAGAGGACATGTAGTGTTGGTTCTTGCCACAGGTTGGCCCACTGTTCTGATGGTCCGTAAAGTAATTTTAGTCTAGCAAATGATCTGTTACAGTGCAGTCGTACATGAACCTTAACTCCCTATAGACAACACAGGCTTACAAAACAGGACTATTCAAGGCTGTATTGACTGATAACTTATATTTTAATCTGGTGCTTATACATAGTAGAAAAATTGCTATATACCTCATTTAAAAACAGCCATTTGGGATGAGCATTATAACCTTACAATTACTTTGAGATTCTCTACAGCTTAAGTCGTTATGATTTGATTGGTGTAATATTTATGTTAGTTCATCAATGCTCTCTGAAAAATTTCTGAAGTCTTCATAGAAAGTCTTTATTAATACCGAGAATGAGTCAAACACTGGTATATTAAAGGCAAATAGTCTTAGTGTTATTTTCAGGTATCAAAATGCAAAATGAAGGAGATCCTAGACAACATTTTGGATTGTTTACAACCATCTTGATAACATAACATTTCTAAAAAAAAAAAATGCATTGAATTCTGGGGTTTAAAACATGACAAAAAAAAAAAAAAAAAGTTATATACCTTTAAGGAATTTTGCAACAAATGCTGCTAAGTTAGATTTTGGGGGAAATGTTGAGGAAATCCTGATTCTTTCCTTCCCCACCAACGCGAGTCCCCATGGAAATAAACGGGAAACATTCCCTCTTGCTAATGACCCTGATAGTGAGACAATTACAGCAGACCAACAGGGACCAGCCAAACCAGATTTCCATTTAGATTTGAGTCTGGAGCCTTGTGAGCCATTCCAACGGCTGTTGGGGAAAATACGTTTGTTTCTGTGCGAAATTTCATCAAAGCATGTCGGATCATACAGTCAAGAGAGCAATTTTTGTGGCTCATTCCGAGCAGCATTAATTTATCGTTTCATCTCACTCCCCTCTTTTCTCATGCACCTTCTGCGGCAGCTGCTCTGTTTCTTCTTTTATTTTCTTTTTTCTCTGTCCTTAGCACTCTCATTGATGTGCTGAATCAAATCTGCTTTAGTGAAACAGCCAAGTTTCTCAGTCTGTTTAGGACAATGAATCTCTCAGATGAGATCTGCTCACAGGGAGGCTTCGCTGCATAGAGAGCCTTCGGTCAGTGGAATCGTTTTATTAAAGCAGTTTGTCATTTTGGACAAGAGGCAGGTCAGAGTCAACGTCCTGCTTGTGTTTGAGCTCAAACACACACAGGCTGGTCGTGGTTTGGGTTCTGCATGCTCTATTTAAGCCCAGAAAGCTGCTGAACTATTGTATGAATGTACTAGACTTTGCATTTTGCACTGTAAATTGTGATAGAAGCATAAAAATTAACAGTATGAAAGGAAGAAAAACTTTCAGAAGTGCTGTCTAGCATATATGTGTAACATTTTCTCAACCAGAATTAGGAGTAAATATCCCAACCAGAACCCTCCGGGAATCACTGTTGATCTCCAAACAAGCTTTAAGAATAAGGGGTAAAAAAAAAAGTGCAAAAGAAAGCGGGTAGACTTCTCCAACAGCCTTACTTAACCCCCTAAAATGTATGTGTGGCTCCAAGGATGGAAAGAAGAAAGTGAAGAGAAGAACAGCTCACTCCCCAAAGCTCCTGCTTCATCTGTGAAGCTGTCGCTGCCTCTGTGAGGCTTGAGCGAGTCTTTCTGATAATAAAACTGGCACGATGGGGTTTATTGTTCTGCTGCAAACAGAATGCTAACAGGATGGTATAGGAGAGCCTTCTGTGTGCTAAGCCTCAGCCAAGTGCGTCACAACTCTCCAGTCTTATCAGCCAAACATTAAAGATCAGAAAGAAATGGGAGAGCGAAAAAAAGAGAGTGAAGACGGGAAGTTGATGGTAGCTGCTGGGAAATCAACGACTACTAAAGATTTAATGATATCCCTTTGGACCCGTTGTTAGGTTAGACCCAGTTTCTTCAATGTATCTGATTGGGATTTTACACATTGGACTTGAAGATGAAAGAAAGTCTGAGAAGATTTTTGTTTATCATTCATTCATCCATCTTCTGCTTCATCTGTCAAGGTCAAAGTGGGGCTGGTGTCTATCTGTCAAAGACATAAAACCATGCACAGACAAACTCTGATTTTTGTTTTTGGGTTTTCCAGCAAAACAAAAAAAAAGGCTGAAAGGTCTGGCATGTTTTTGCATTCATTACTCAAAACCCCTAAAAACAGCCTAATTTGTAAACTGGTCATATGTATTTTTATTGAATTTCATTTGCCATATTGAAACCAGTTTTTTATAGAAGACCTTAGAGGTTTCCTAGGCCAATGATTTCAAAACCTTAAAGCCCCAGACCTACATAAAAGCTTTTTCTAGTAGGTCATACATGGGTACATACATAACAGCTTTTTTAACCTCTTTCACCAGTCTATATTTGTGCTGTATAATTATTATTATTTAGGGTAACTCTAGAAAAGGGCATCAAGACTCTAGATATTTTTATTTTTTAAGAACAAGTGGAGCAAACATTAGAGAATATTAGTGAATAAAACTATCATAAAATGAGTGCAAAATGCTGGTGAAGATTTTCAGTCATCCAGGTCATAGTCATTCCAAAAAAAGAAAAAAAGAAAAAAGAAAAGAACAATCCACTGGACTTTCTTGTTTCTAAGTTTGAAGACGTTTTGCTTCCCATCCAGGAAGCTTTTTCAATTCAAAATGTCAGAAATAGCGTTGAGTTTGAGGCTCTTATCTACTGTATAAGAATAAGCATTCCGGACGGCTATAAATTAATTTAAGATCTCCATATTCCTAATATTACTGGTCATCATTTTTTTATTATTTGAACTACGAAAAAATGTTTTTCAGATATCATTAATACCATTTCAGTCAAGCTGATAAATGTCAGAACGGCCACTTAAAATGTGTAAACATTTCTAGATATATAAAACTTAATTCTTACTAGTATAAAAAAAAGTTTTTTTTCTTTCTAAGGTTCAGTTTCTGCTACAAAAATGAAAATGTAATTTTGAAAATATATTATTACAGTTAGGTCAAGGAGGGTGATTTTGATCTGGAAGAATCTTATTTTAATGATCTACAAATGGAAAAACAGCTTTTTAATAAATGTAAAAATGGTCTGCCACTTCATATAATGATATATATACATTAACTCGAGCTACAATCTTCGCCTTCTCCACCTTCCTCTCCTTTGTAGCTGTAGCACTGTTTATCTGGCTTTTAAACACATATTCCTTATTGTCTCCAGTGG